AGGGTGGGGATGGGGGCTCTAAATATTGTCTTGATATTTGGTACAGCAGGTCCCTCCTCCATTCACTGCCTTCAGAAGTGTTTTGCTTTCCATCCTTTGGCTGTGGGCATAAAATTTAAATTAAGCTTGTAAAGCTCTGTTGGGATTTTGATTGAAATTGTGTTGAGTTCCAAGGTTGAGAGATTTGATATCCTAAGTCTAGACACTACCGGTAACCATAATCATTGTATATTCTCCACCTTAAACAGGTTTTCTTTAATGATGTTCAGTTTAAAAAATCCTCCTTGAAGTTATCATTCATCTCATGTTGGATTTTTTCCTAGGTAACATGTCACAATTGCCTTTAAAAATTATTTTCTGGAGTTGCTCATGTTTGATAATGCAAACTGATCTTTGAATATCTGTGGATCCATTAAACTTTGTTAATTATTTGTCACCTCTTGAATATTGTCACGTCTGTATTTTGCTTTTATACCTACCTACATTAGTATGTCTTGTTCAATGGTGGATTGCACTTTCCTTGATTTCTAATTTTATGCTGATATTTCTAATGTTTCATAATTAAGAATAATGTAAGCTATAAATACTCCATATAGATTTCCTTTAGCTGATAGCTTCCTTCTTTTYCTTGTTTGCCAAGTTTTTAAAAAACTATGGTGAAGTTTATTACATGCTTTTATGCCTACKCTAACAGCATTTTTCTTCATTTGTTAAAGTGGTGAATTGCGCTTTCCTAGTGTTATTTGACTCTTGCACTTCTGATACAACCCTAACTTGATAATGGTATGCCATTTTAAATGTTTGCATTTCTATATTTATTTATTTTACTATTCTCTTGAGAATACTATTCTCATACCATTCTTCTCAGAGTTTTGGTTCACTTTCTATTCTCTTGGAGAAAACCTCAATTCTGATCCTGCTGCTTCCTTTGCATTTAGAAAGGTTGTGATCACTAGTAAATGGGAAGTTCAGCTAACATCTTCCTGTGTGCATATTTCTTCCACTTGTCTGGGCCTTTSTTCTCCTGCCTTCTTTGGACTTTTTTTTTTTTTTTCTTATTTCAATATTCCTCTCTACCAACTAGGAGTTATAAACACCATTGATTTTTAGCTATTACTATAAAATTTTATTAGAAGTATTTAAATTTAAAAAAWTCATAATGCACCATCTGAATACAAGGACCTTTGAGACACATTAATTTTGATTACCCTTCCAAATTTACTGGCTAATCTTGTTCAATATTAATGTCTTAACTAAATTAGACATTGTTTAGTAATATGGTATCACCTTTAAAATAAATTTGGAGGAAGGTCTTTTCTAAAATTGACATCAATTATATTTTATGAATACACAGGTTGAACTTATATGGGAAATCAAGTAGTGAGGATTAAATTTAAGTTTAACCAATTATATTAATCACCTTTACTTTATATGGACTATAGGACTTTACATTAACACTTCTGTTTTCTTTATAGAATGCCAGTCTTACATTTTTATTTTTGGTTTTCTACAATAACCACCCAGTCTATCACCACTAATCCAACCTCCATGTTGCAGCTTACGTGAGTTTTCATATATATATATATACCTTTATTTTTATGTGGTGCTGAGGATCAAATCCAGTGCCTCATGCTCACGCATGCTAGGCGAGCTCTCTACCACTGAGCCACAACCCAGCCCTCTTGCTTTTTAATTTTGAACTGTATATTGTGCTTCCTCATATACTACAGTCTATATACTATAGTCCCTAGTAATTAGTGTGAGTGTTCCAAATGTTTTCTTCACTTTTATATAAATCTCTGAGTGCCAAATATGTGCAAGATGCCAGAAATACATCTGAGATGAGGAGGATACAGTTTTCTCTGCTCAGAAGCTCATAGGGTAACAAAAATACACCTCGAAGTAGCAGGACTCTATAAAGATCACTCATTCAATAACTATTTTCTGAATGGTCAACGTATATAAGCAATAATACAATATCATCTTAAAAAGTTTTATGAATGTAGACTTAAAATGAAAAACATGATAAATTCTGGCAACTGGTATCATTAACTGTTGGAAATATATGTATTCAAAGACAATTCAAAGTATTTATTCATCTGTTTCAATTGTTAGTTATAACTTTAGCATATTATTTAAAGGGTTGGGTAATCGGTAGTATAAGTAGGGTTTCAAATAAATTCAGACAAAGACCATTCAGTATGTTCGTTCAAGCACATACACAAAAACCCCAAAACCCTATCCAAGCATTTAATAAAACACAAAATATTTGTCATATCCATAAAGTTTATTTTAAAAAATTGTTAAAAACTAACCATACAGGAATATTTAATATACTTAAAAAGTTTGTTCCCCATGTTGAAGGAAAATACATTTGCAACATCTTCCAGACACCATCTTTATAAAAGTAAAACTTCTAGATGCTGAAATGTACTACAGTAGATTCTATAATTTACAATTTTAATCACAGGATTGGAATTCATTCTTCCTACACCCCCCGCCCCCAATGTGGCAGTTGTTATTCTTAAATTAATGACATTCAATCATGTTATACTACCACAGGTCCTTAAATAGAGTACACACTGCATTACTAACAGAGCAAGTATTCTCTATTTGCTGTCACATAATTATTTCAGATAAGCATTTGACTTTAAGTACAAAGAGAAATACGACATCCCATGATTGTAAACATTCACCAAGAGCTTCCAGAGTACAATGAGTAATAGAGGTGGCCCAAGAGTCAGTCAAGTGTTCCTCACTCATGTGGATACTGCTGAGATTGGGAAAAATGTTTTGAAGGCAAATATTATCATAAGCCTTCCTTACTTATATTTCCGTAAGAAAGTAGTTCTGGATATATATTTTTAGTCGAAAACCTGAAAGTCATTCTAAAGACTACATTAAGCACCATTTTCACTTACCTGAAATATATTGAGTTAAATTCAGCAGTATGTATGATCATTAATATCAGAAATAAAAAATAACAGTGGGTCTCAAGTTCCCTTTTGTGTATACACATGGAGTATTGAGTTCCAACTGATGCTAACAGGAACCACTCATGCATACCAAGGGTAGTAAGTCCCCCAGGGCCACATGCAACCCATTAAGTCTGAGGCACAACTATTACTTCTGTCCATGGATGCTATACAAGCAGATTTAAGGCTGTATTCGGCTATAAGGAGTTCAGTCTCCTGCTTAATATTCTTTCTATGTAGATCACATACATGATTCAAAATTTTGTAGACTGGGAGGTGAAAAGTTCCCAAATACTTTTTAAATACTATTCTCCATACAATTTATTGTCAGCATATTTACATAAAGAAATGGGGAGTATTCATACTTAAAACCATTTTAAAAAATGCAACCAGACTTTTCAAATTCTTGCCACAACTTTCCTAGGATTATCCTCATTTTCATATTCTGACTTTTGGCCAACTTCACATTTGTCAGATTGTTCACTGCAGTTCTTAAGAAAATCTCATGTTGCTCCCAAGAATAATAAAAATTAAAAAATATTCACTGCCATCCACTTTGGGACAGACTTGGCTGCAAAGAAAATGGAGTTCCTGGTGTTGAAGGATAGCTAGGAAACCCATCAGGCTGAGCTGGATAGCTTTCCAGAGCTGAAGCTGAATGCACCTGAAAGAGAGAAGAACACACATGCAGGTTAGCTCAATTAAACCTGACTTGCTTTGGCCTGTGCCACACTTCAGATAATCAGAATAGGAAGAACATATTTTGGGCAAAAGAACATTTGCTGAATCTTTTAAAGAAATATTCAGTCTTCTTCAAGTGGAGGAGAGACATAGAAATGCCAATTAAATAAAAAATATTCTTGCAAAGAAAGAGTAACAGGTTTTCTACAATGTGTTTGAAAGGCCTATTATAACTTAGAAGACAAGTTAAAATTTAATTTTCAGGAATAAAGATTACATTTTATTAAGTAAAATCTCCAAACAGATTTTAAAAAATCTGTTAAGTGGGAAAAACAACTCATACAGATGGACTTTATCCTACCCTTTTGTTATTCTTCTGAAAGAAGATAAGCATAATTTGCAAGTCTGAGGAGAACTACATATTAAAACTCTAGGCATTCTRATAAGAGGCACTTTTTGCCAATACTGGGATGTCACAACATCAATACTACTGATTACCATTACATGGGTGACCATTTTATTCATGCAAGACATCGCCTGCCTACCTGCTGTAACAATGCTGACTGTGCCGCTGCTGCATTATGCTGTAATTCTTGCAAGGATGACTGTGARGGATTCTGGGAAAACCCAGGGATACCTGGGAGGGACAGGAGGCCTGGAAAAACAGAACTGCCTGCAGCTTGAAGTCCAGACGATAAACTAAAACAATTGATAGAAAAACAGGTCAAACTGCAGACAAGATAGCAAAGTTCTTTTTAGATTTACCAAGTAGTATCTTAAGGTATGGAAAACAAAACACAAACTTAGAATTTATTCTTCTGTTGGAAAAAACCATAAAAGTCGGCCACTCACTAATGTAGAACTTACTGTTACGAAGTGTATTATTCTGAATTCATCAGTCTGTGTTTTACATATAATTCTTCCTATTTTGAAAGCAAGTTAAATTACCAAATGTAAATTCTACAACTTTGCTAATAAGTATTAATATTTTATATGCATCTAAACTAACGGTCCAAGAACCATAAAACATTTTTTGAGCACTGACGTTTTGGCCCAGAAAGACATAATTCAGCACCACTGAATGRCTACATTTTGACTTTCATTTGAATAACTTAAGACAATGAATTACATGTTAGGTGAAGAATGATTCAATCCTATTCCCACATTTTCACATACCCGGCTTGTGCAACAAGAGCAGAGTTGAAATTAGAACTAAACGCTGAAGCGAATCCCGGGAGGACAGGAGCTGGTGACGGGGCCGTAGCCGCGACAGGTAGTTGTGTGACAGCTGTGACTGTGGAGGGCGCCTGCAGCCCCGGGAACGAAGGGAGAGCAGGGGTAACACTTGGGGTATTGGAGACAGAAAAGCCAGGATAGGAGGGATTTGAAGGGGGAAGAGGTCCTTGGGTAACTGGAAAAAGTGAGGGGACGGCAGTGGATAAGTTGAGGGGGAAAGGTGCTGCCGAGACTGGTGCTGAGGCAGAGAGCCCTGAGAGAACAGCTGCCGTGGAGCTAGGAGGAGGCATAGCTGCGGAGGTGGCAGTGGTAGATGAGGTGGCTATTAATGACCCTGGAAGAGACACCGATGGATTAAGAGACGGGTTGCCAGGCAAAGGAAAACTATTGGTCAGAGAAGTAAAAGGAGGAAGAGCAGTAAACACKGGAGCAATAGGAGTGGAGGAAGCATGAGGTGGAAGGGAAATAGAAGAAAGGGGATTTGAGCCATTTAAGGGAGTACTCAAACTGGAGAGACCTGATAATGCAGGATTAAGGCAAGTAGATAAACTGACGGGCACTGACGCCGAAGTATATGCACGACCCAATGTCCCTGACAAACTTAAAGTGCCATGAGAGGGAGTCACAGAATGAGATGGGCCTTTGAAGGCCGAGGGAGTAGGACTTGTGGGCTCGGTTTTGATCATTACAGGAATGGTAGTAACTGCAGGGGTAGGTGAAATATGCAGGTCTGAGGTACCTGGGTGGGGGCCATGCAAAAGGGAGGCTGAGGAGCCACAGCTAACGGGCACTGATGTTGAGGAGGACGTAGCAGTAGCCAAAGGAGACTGCACAGGCAGCGTAGGRGGAGTGGAAGTTGGGTTAGCCACGGGGGACGGCAGGCCTGGGAACATGGCCATCCCAGGAGTGGAAGACCCCTGCAGAGTGGGGACAGCTGGGGGTGCATAGCACTTGCTAGGCGCTGAAGCAGGAGAATCAGAGTTTCGCTTAGTAAGAGAGGATAATGAAGCCAGCCCACTCGTGACAGCAGATGACAAAGCAGAGGAGTTGATTAAATTGGTGTCATTTGATGTCAGAAAGCCTTTTAAAGCAGACAGAAGAGGACTATTTACACCAAGTGGACCAGCAACACTGGGGGCAGAACCACCCGCAATTACAGAAGGAGTCGGGTTGGATACACCTTGGGAGGTTGGYGTTAAGGGCAAAGGGAGACCTGCAAAAACCGATGATAATGAAGCCGAATTTGGATTGTTGGTAGAAGCAGCAGCAGAGGTGGCAGAAAAGGAGAGGCTAGTGAAAGGAGCAGAAGTAGAAGCAAATGATTCACTGGAAGCCAGAGTAGCCCGAGGTGTGGTTGTGGCCTGAGGGGCTGGGTTAGGAGTAGCAGAAGGACCTGGCAGTGGCACCAGGCCAGAAAAAACAGAAGGAACAGGAGCAGATGTTGTACTGTGGATGGAAGTAACGGGTGCCGTAGGCAATGAGAGGGTCCTGATAACTGTAGGGTTTGGCGTCGATGGCTGAGGTGTATGAATGGCTGCGGAGAYCTGCCCTGGGAACACCGGGAGGACAGTATTGGGCATGTTCATTCCAGAACCGGTGGCAGCTGCTGAGGCTGATGGATGGTTTACTGTCTTGACTGGGGATGCAGTAGGGACGGGAGTCGCAGCAGGTGTTGAAGGATTAGAACCATGAGGAGAAAAGAGTTGACTTGCTGGGGTAGAAAATGCTGTGTGAGGAAGAGAAAAAGGCAAGAATTTATTATGTCAAAATGCCCAATTTGAACTCCAAAGAAATGTATAATGATTTTTGTCATATTTCACAAATATATGACACCTATAATCAGCTCTTGTAATATCTAAATTTCTAGATTCCACTAYCCTATCTTCACTTTGAAATCTCAGTCAGATCCAAGTGTCTTCTAGACAGTACCCAGAACATCCACCAAGTCACACTGAGGAAGCCTTAAGAAGCTCAGAAAATTTCATATTTTTCTACTTTTTTAAAATAAAAAAAAAATCATTTAATTGTGATTAGTGTTAGTACATTGACTTTCTTTCTTTCAAATCACTTACTTAGAGTAATAATAACAAACCAGTCCTCTTCTCAAGAGTTTTCAGGACACCACTTCCCTTTCAGGGACATACTAGGTCTTCCAGGATTCAAGTCCCTCTCTCTYAGTATTGTTTGTTGCCACCCAGTGAGGTGAATTCAGTAGTACATGTTATTAATATGTACGGTTCCCACTTGCTGCATTTGCTAATACTGACCAATATTGTACTCATACTGTACTTATACTGTTTCAACAGGGAATGTTCCTTCTGCAGTGATAATCAACTGAAATCATTTCTATGAACTAAAACAGACATTTAAACATCTACACATATGTAAAACTATTTGATATGAAGAGATGACATGTTAATGAAATAATGCCAYGTTAATCACAGGGGAAGGACATCCAAGGAATAATAGAGGTAAACAAATAGACCTAATTCATTTGAAATGGTCAAAGAGTGCACTGGGCTGAATAAGCATTGCAGTTGTTTTACAATAGAAATATAGGAGGAAAAATTCACAAACTATAATACATAAATGCATAAAACTGCAAACTCAAAGGCCAAGCCTAAACCATAGTCATGCCTTTGTTTTATTGAGGACAAGCTTTGAGACTGAACTAAAGCACACATTCTACCACTGAACTATATTCCAGTCCCACYGTGTTTGTATTGTTAAGTAGTGATTTAATTTCAGGAAAGCTAGACTATCATTTTGGAGTACCTATGAAAATGGATTTAATCTTATTTCATAAGAACTAGACACATAAGAAATATATTTCTAATTTTGATTTTGTAAATAATGTACCAAAAAATTATTTAAGTCTATAGTGGTTGGAAAAATTTGAGAATCCACTATCCGATTTAACTATGTGCTGAAGACTATACAGTCAATGATAATCTCAAGAGAAACCAAGCTAATCCTAGAGTGCTCTTTATAGCTACTTCTACTAGATACTTTTCAATGTAATAAAGCACAAGCTTTGCCCTATTAATAATTGTGCCTACAGTTAAAAATGAAACAAAACAAGGTGCCAGGGTTGTGGCTCAATGGTAGACTGCTTGCTTGGCACAAGATCTTTATTTTTTTCCTTCTATGTGGTTCGATCCTTAGAACCACATAGAAAAAAAAAAAATAAAGATACTGTGTCCACCTAAAATTAAAATATTAAAAAATTTAGAAAAAAAAACAAAAAACACCTATAAAATCCCAACTACATACTATGATCATAACATCAATTTCTGCTATATAATTTAGTTAATAATTAAAACACTATCTGTCACAACCCCTGCTAGTAATCTATAGCTATMATTTCATTCGTTCCCAAATTAATTCTGAGATAGACAGTAACACTTCCATTTTATAGGCTTAGTGTGGCTAAGCAAGCTATTAAAAGATCATGTATCTATTAAGTGGTAAAGCCAAGATCTGAACCTAGTCCTGTTAGATCCTTACTCTTAACTATTACATTAGTTTGTCTTTATTAGTGTTTCCTAACATGGTTTAAAAAAGAATAAGAAAAAACTCCTAATCACGTTCACATAACATAGCATAGGAAATCAAACTATGCTACTCCTACCAACGGTATTTATGATACCATGGTTACCTCTTTCCAAAAACAGATTCATGAATAAAGCTGAACACAAAGGATGAAGTTTCCCTAATCATCTTTCCATAGAAATTAAATGAGTCAAGGTCACAAAACCTCATGGTTCCAGAGACGGGATGAGAAACTAGGTATCCTGACATCTTACTTGGTGTTGTTTTCACCCCAATTTGCTCCTTCCTTTAGGAACCAGCTCAAAAGCACCCTTTTTACATACTGTTCTCAGGGAAGGGAATTTCCCCACTGAAACCATCTGCTATAGTAATTAGATTCATGTGMTACTCTGCTACATAAGAACTTACTCCAGGTCTCATAGCTGAAACCATCTCATATCCTCCAAGAAAGGAAGAATACAATGTTATCAAGCTGCTGCCATAGGACAACACTGTCCTGGCCACACTTCAATTTACTTTCTGCTTTGGCGTCACTTATTCTTTTCTACATTCAGTTATGTTTAATAATACTGAAATAATTAAAAGTAGAATCCAAAATAGCACTTGTCAAAAAGGATTTTTATCATTCCATGTGTTTATATCAAAAAGAAATGAGGCTTTCAAAATCACACAATGTAAATATGGATCCACATGCTACACAGCACTTAGATTTCATTACAAGTTTTGCAAATAACATTAAAGTAWTAAGATTAATTTTAAATGTAGTTATTAATATGCATTTCATTAAGCAACTTTTAGTAAGTATCAATTACATTCTTTATCCAGGAACTTTTCTTAGAATAGTCCAAATATAATCAATTCAAATTGTCCTCAGTGAACAACAAAGAGCAGACAACCATGACAGACATGTTATCTCTGGATCAGATCTGGTACTTACTTTGATTTTGTGTAGGTTTTGACTGACTGGAAAGGTCTTCATTTTCTATGTAAAAGTAAATAAACAGAAGTTGATTTCAAACTTTAATCAAATTTTTTCCCCACCATAACAATCAGAGATTGGTATCAAAATGAGAAAAACAAAGGATATGAACATACAAACACTAAGTTAGAAAATACAATGAATACCTATGGAAAAATAAARGAAATACACAAAAGTCATAATGAATCTGAGAGGATTATAAATGATTGTTCTTTCCTTTCTTTAACCCATTCTCTTCCCCTGCTGGTCTCCCCTGAAYTTATCAAGGTTTAAATTCACATTGTTAAATTCACATTATTGAAAAGGAGCCAGCCTGAGTGTACATGCAGGAGAGAGTGCAGCCTGCAGTTAGAGTGCAGAGACCATTTTTATTGGCTAAGGTACCAGCAAGCCCCTCAGAACTGCTGCCTATAGGAGTGGAAGACTAGGAAGACCGAAGCAGGAGGCGGCTGCTGGGTGAATGAGAGCAGAATCCACTGTGTGTAAGAGGGCAAGCAGAGTAAAAGCTACATATTTAAAAATCAATATTAAAGTAATGTGAGAGTATACAAGATACTTTCATACTTTTGGGCTGAGGAAGGGTGTCCTGACCAAGGCACAAAAACAAAGAGCTAAGTAAAATATAATTAATCCAAATAAAAACTAAATTTTTGTAATACACACATACACACACACACACACACACACTAGTCTATTAAATTGGCAAAATTAGAAAACTGATTATCTACCCTGTTGAGAAGGTGTGAAGAAACTAATTCATATATGCTCATGGGCAGGTGTAACTGGTACAGGGTTGCTGGAGAACAGTTTGGCAATAAATGAAAAAATATTTATTCTTCATATACAGTATGAACCCTTCTCATCATCCTTTACTTTCTTACTCTCTTTTTTYCCCTCTATGTTGGGTCTCAAACTGAATGCTCCCACTACCTTTTCAAAGTCCTTGCTCCCTATGGTAGGAGAAATTTAGCCAAACTGTACACTGTACCATTAAGTTAATTACTTCTTCATAGTTTGTCAAAAGTTTATCACCCATGAGAAATGGTTCTTTTTTCTATAACAACCTGCCCCTGTTCAAACATGTGGCTCAAAGGCACTCAAGTAGAACCCTTGTCATTAAAGAATRAGTGGGCACAATCAGGCCAACTGGCAGCAGAGCTCAGGCTACAGGAGGACAGATTCCAACTCCCTTCCTGTCCCTCTAAGACACAGGGTGTCCAACTCTTCCACAGGGTTTTACCCTTCCAATATGCACAAAATAAATTAACTTAGGGCAGAGTATCCTCTGCTACTCCACCCTCTGCTCCACATACTAATATCCATCAATTCTGGTTTCCCTCTCTATCACTCCTTTGGCAAACCAGACAGGCATCTGTCCTAAAAAAAGGTTTGGAGGCAGAACACCCTCGGTTCTCTTAACTTTGCAGTCTAAAAAAAAAAAAAAAAACCCTGATATGCTGATACTTTGGGAGTTCTGTGTGCACAGATTCTAGTATTTCCCAAACATGCTTGAAGATAAGAATCACTTGGAGTCATTGGAAAACTGAAGATACCACAGCACCACCTCTCATCCACTGAAGCAGAATCTCTACTGAAGATGTTTTTAACTGTGCCCCAGGTATTTCTAGGCCACAGAGAAACTACCTTATTGTCACCTTGTCATTCCTGTCATGTATTTCATTACCAGTCCGTTTTTACCTGTTTGTGCTTCAACTTAGGACATTACTGAGTCAACAATGTCTAGTGATACATGACACAAGCAACTGATATTTATTTTAACAAGACTAGTTTGGATGCCCTTCCTCTGAGATTGCACACCACCTGTACTTTTTCACAGAAATAATCATTCTTCTATCTCAGAATCTAAGCTGCTATTTGCTATAAAGCACATCCAATTTCAGAGAAATTAAACTATAAAAATGTGCAGTTTAGAATGAATGAAGTAAAATAAACTGAAATTGTCTTCTCCTTCCTCGCCTATATTTCTCATTGATTGCAAATTCTTTGCAAACAGGACTTTGTTCACATTTCTTTCATTTACATATATATAGCACACTGCAGATCATCTCTCTAATGTTAGCTGAATGTTACTGAACAATAGTTTTTAAAGTATTATTCTGTATTTCACATGGAGAAATGGAAGTCATTAAGATTATGAAAACTGCCCAATGTTACCAAGGACTCATACCACACTGGTAAGGCTCTTGAGCTTGTGCTCCCATTGTTAGGACATGCCATGTCAAACAACTGTCCCTGCCAAATGTATGTTTGTGAATGACTAATTTAGTTACTTTTAACACTCCAAATATCATGACTTTACCTGTTCCTACAGGATTCGGAGTATATGGAGATGGAGGGGGTACACCTGGAGCTATCATGTTGGCTAACGGTACCAGACCTGCATTGTTGTAAGCACCTAAAATAATAGAATATATGTAATTTAGTATTTCTCTGTGGTTAGGAGTTCAAAGTATATTAATGCAGCTATCTCATTTATTATTTGAAATTATTTATATAATGGATTTGCAACTTATAGAGATTTGGGTCTAGGGTTAAATAAAAACTGAGATAATGAGATAACAGGAGATGGCTATTCCCATTACATGTTCATTTCAGGCATAAGTTCACTGAATGGCAYGGCAGGCAGAATCTGCCATACATTTAATTTAAATATCTATATTTGACAATATTGTAGTTAAATTACCAAAAAAATATAAAAGATTGAGCAAACTCTCAGAGAACTTCATAAGTGCTGCAGGTATCCCAATTACATAAAATTAGAATTTACTCTCAAATTAATAAACAGGAAAAAAGAAAAAGAAGTAAAAAGAAGAGAACTCCTTACTTGGTGCAATGGTTGCATGTGGCCGGCATGGAGGTATAGGATAAGGAACAGGTTTATGTGGGTTGTATGTCGAAGGAGGCTAGACGGGACAAGAACAGCAGTTAGAAGGAAGCCAAGTAAGATGTCTCCTGGTAAAACAAAATACAACCTGCCTTTTAAAATGTTTAGTTCTAATAGGCTAAAAATGTCCCCAAAGATCAAATGCTACTGGCCTAAGAAATGGCATAAATGAGGGAAATTTCTTTGCTTTAATAAAAGTAGTTTCTAGGTACTCTGAAAAGTAAATTCTGCCAAAGATGGCCAAGTATTTTTTTTTTTTTATTTTACTACCCAATCATCTCCAATGAAGGGTCAGAACTTATCCTAAATAGCAAACTACTCTCTGATCCAGACTAAATTAATCCAAGGATTCCTCTCCTCTTATATTAAYTAATGCAATAAATCCACTAGGTTTTGGAATCTCAGCTACATAAGAACCCCAATGGCCATATCCTCCTCAATTGATTAGGAATTCATCCTATCATTCCTACCCTCTTTTCTTCTTCTGGAAGATAAATGCACTGTTTGTTTTAGCATTTGGCATTTTGACAACTTTCATAAAATGTATACTAGAATTAGGAATTGAATATTTCAGGGTTTTTTCGTTTTCTAAAATTCATAAATGCACAAATACTTTTATAGTTGATGGCATTACATAAATAACAAATATTCAAAGAATGGGTTTTTAGAGAACAGCAAGTATTTGAAGCTAAGGCAAATGCTGTACTTTTTACCTACAGAGAGGGCGAGCAYGAATGCCTTTAGTGCAGAAGGGACCCACTGGGGGAAAGGGACCCAGTTTCTTTCTAGCTGTCACAAAAAACAGCCACTGGCATTCTTGTCATATGGATGGGCAGAGATTACAAGGTGGCCGAGTACAGGCCTCTAATACTTCAATTCTGACAATACTTTAAACCCATAGGGCTATCTCTGCCTGTTCAGTTTACATTCTAATCACCATAATCACACCCTTGAAAAGACTCTCAGTCCCCTGGTGTCATTCTTGTTTCACTAATATTCACCCCAGTTTTGTTAAACCAGAATCTGTTAAAGCAAACATCACACTTTGAACTGAACAACTGAATGTGTCCAGAGAAAACAATAAAAATAATTAACTCATCTCACTTTAAAATAATGCTTAACCTCAAAAGGGGTCTTAACACTGCGGATTACACTATACTTCTCTAGGCTACTCTTACTCTTCTAGCATTTCTGACATAATTAAACTTTGCAATACAAAAATTTAATAGAAAACTACTAGGTGTTAAGAATTATTTTCTCTTTCATTTTCACACATACTGGCTTGGATGGTCCAAGAATCCGTGCAGCTATGCCTTTGCCCTCATTTGTACATTCTTCACCATCCTTTTTCAAAGGGGTTCCCTGTGTTATTAAAAAATAAATAAATAATAAAAAAATAAAAGAGGGGTGGGGAAGAAAGGTAATTGAGATTTCAAATAAACCCAAGCCCGAACAACCACACTGTATTATATTAAAACAGAAAACAACGATAAGGGATAAAGCTGGTAAGAATAAGACTTGAATTCCAGACCCAGTTCTGCCCTGGCTGGCTGCATGATCCTGATGAAGTTCTTAAGCTTCCTCTTTGCATGCAAAGTTTCCCAAACATATTTAACTGTAAAACTGAAAATTACTGAGGGTTTGAGAAATTTTCCTTTATTAAATGTAAATGAGTACTTTTAAAATATGGAAACAAAATCATCATCTTTTTTTGTTTGGCTTGAAGATTTTACACAAATGTTAATGAAATTTACACATGAACTTTCAATCAGTGATGAATCCACAAATTATGCTGATGACATGATGAAATTCCTTTCCTTTGCAGAAGCATCATCAACTGGTATTTTCMCTTAAATATCATTAACTTGGATTATATTTCACACTTAGTCATGAGAAGTTTCATATACAGTCATAAAAGTATGCTTACTGGGAAAATTCCATTTATACGACTAGGTCTTCCTTTGGGATATGGATTTCCTGGGATTGTTCCACAAGAAGATATCATAGCGTGAGGAGCTTTGCAGCCCCCCTTAAAAGCCTGTAATATAAAAAAGAGGAGAGTGGTTAAAAAAAAAAAGTCAAACCCATAAAATCAAATATTTTGGATACTAGGAATCCCAGSTAAAAAACATGAATTAAGGAACAGCATCACATTCAATCTGTTAACACATCAGTCAGCACTTGCAATGATTAACATGTTCAAAGGCAATATGCAAAATCACTTTATTTAGGTGGAATTATTAAAATGGTATAATATACTTTCAACTGCAACTAAGAGACCCTTAAACAAAGAAATCTTCACAATGCATTCTGTAAATTATGTGCAAAAAAAAAAGTCTATTTATTATCAAATCTGTTCCATTTCACCAACCAACAAGAAATAATACAGTCCAAATCTCTAAACACCAAGCTCATTAAAGGCAAGGCAAGAAAAACACAGGGGTGAAAGAGGCAAAGTCCTTGCTCTGAAGAAGTTTACATTTTAGTGGGAAAAATGCAAACAAATAACAGAGTATGCTACTATTCAAAGAACTGCATTGCTCAATACACTTGACCACATGATGTSCAGAATAATGCTACACCCTTGAGACACAGTAGCAGAAGGGATTTGGGTCTAGGCTTTTCATTACTAGATCTCTAGCTTCTAAAATGATGCTTCACATATACAGAGTTGGAGCTCAATATTTATTAGATGAGGTCTGGGGATGTGGCTCAAGCGGTAGCATGCTCGCCTGGCATGCGCAGGGGCGCTGGGTTCGATCCCAGCACTACATAAAAAAAAAAATAAAGATGTTGTGTCCACTGAAAACTAAAAAATAAATATTAAAAAATTCTCTCTTAAAAAATATTATTAGATGAATGATAAACACTGTATAAGGCAAATATATTCCAACAAGACTATACTGTATTACAGGAATATTCAGTTATTTATAGACATGTAAAATATAATATATATGTGATTGTGATTACATGGTTTTACATATATATAAAGATTTTACAAGTATGCATGATTTTACACATATTTTTATAGTTATATCGGTTTCATAAATTCATCCACAACACATATCATATYGGTGATATAATCCAGCCCCCTACTAAACACTTCAGCTCTAAAAATCATCCCTATTTCTGATTATTATAAATTTATGTAAATGCATTTAGGTAAGACTGTATTTCTAGTTGTTCCACTGGAAAAAATTCTTAGACGTGGAACTTTTGTGTTAAAAGGTAACATCAACAAAACRCTTTGTAAGGAATAAAACTACAGTGGCAAAGGCATGATACCATAAAGATTTCAGTCAAGAAATCCAATGAAGTAATTAAAAAGTAAAAGAATTGTAGGTTCAGACCTTATCTCTACTACAATAACATAGGACTAAAGCAAAGTTGCCTACCCTCCCTAAGCTCAGAGGACGATATAAGAATTAAATAGGACAGAGTTACAAGAGCAATATGCATCTTCTTCAAGGAGGTTCTGAATTATTAATTCAATTTATAGACATCACAGTCCCAGGAACTTACTAACTTAGATGACATATCAAGTTTTCTAGGCTTGGACAAGAACTGCTTTTCCCACTTTGGTAGGTTTAAATAAACCGGAACTTGGCTTTGGTATTAATCTCTTAGGAATCTAATTAACATAAGCCTGAAAACAAAGCAAATTTGAAAAAATCAAGTTCCTAAATACATAAAATTAAAGACAAAAATCTGCAATAATGGCAAAGCTATCAAAGGACCAAGACATAACAGCTTCAGGGGGCACAATGTGATGCTTTTCACTCTCAAGCCATCTCTCCCTGCTCTACTATYCCCTTCAACCAGATCTATTTTACTCCACGAGCTGCAGGAATGTACACTCTTAACTCATCACATACSAGCATTCGGGTTATTCTCAAAGTTAACAGAGAAAAAAGACAGGTGCTTTTTTCATGTGCTACCATTCAGAAAAAATGGCACAGCAATCTTGAGAACAATTACCTGTTCAAGTACTCTTTTGCACCGTTTCTTCTCAGACATATTTATCCTGAACAAATCTTCAATGGGACGAGAATTCTGCGCATCGACAATGTTTCTACCAAGAAAATACAATTTAGTTTTTCATTTAAGAATACACACAGTTCAGCAGCTTTTGATTACCACACAGACATACCTGAGTAAAGCTTTCCCGTGACATAGGGAGAAAATGTGATTGTTTACTTTTAATAGGTCAATTTATATTATAAAGATAAATATAATAACTGAACTGAGGTTTATCTTTCTGATTACTGGAAAGGGACAAAGTAATACTGTAAATAAAAATGATTATTTTGAGAATCTTGAAAATATACCCTCTCTGATGGTGTTGAACGTTATTGCAATAGAGCCAAACCATGTATTTTTTTTTTTTAAAGAGAGTGAGAGAGAATTTTTAATATTTATTTATTTATTTATTTTTTAAGTTTTCAGCGGACACAACATCTTTGTACGTGGTGCTGAGGATCAAGTCGAACCCGGGCCACACACATGCCAGGCAAGCGCGCTACCGCTTGAGCCACATCCCCAGCCCCATAAACCATGTATTAAATGCATAAAAGTTACAGTTAATCTAAAACTGAAGTTTTACCTTATGTTTTATTTTAATTTTGTGTATTTATGGACATGCATAAAGACATTAAGGACTGTAAAATACATGCTCCATAAATAAACAACTAATACATACTTTTTAATCATGCAAAGAATTAGGTTAGGTCCCCTCCGTTTCCCTTCATGCTCACATTTATCATGATCACCTATCAAATGCTGCCCTAGGTAGAGACATTTTAAAAGCTCTTCAAGTTTACCTTCCAGATAAGTTGTACTAATTTACATTAATCAGAAGGRCTATTCCACAGAATACTTAAAATATTTACATATTGCTCATAGTGTTTAAAGTATCCCCAAATATGGGGCTGGGGATGTGGCTCAAGTGCTAGCACGCTGGCCTGGCATGCGTGCGGCCCGGGTTCGATCCTCAGCACCACATACAAAGATGTTGTGTCAGCCGATAACTAAAAAATGAATATTAGAAATTCTCTCTCTCTCTCTCTCTAAAAAAAAAAAAAAAAAAAAAAGTATCCCCAAATATGCTATGGGTAAGCAGAGAACCTCTGCTGTAAGTTGTTTATTCTATTGACAATTCTTAAACTCCTATGTCTTTACCAACTTGCCTGTTAAGTCATTCAGAATATGAAGGCAAAACAAGCTACTAAAATGCAGAAAAGTCAAATTAAATAATCTTGATAAGCCCCACTATTTTCTAAGTTACAACCATATGTGTAATAAGTAAATTGAATGTTTATCCACAAAGAAATCTGAATTCATCCCTATGCTTTCAGACTACATTTTATGAGAGATTTGTTTACTTACATAATTTGAATACAGTAAGATATAACAATAAGTTAGAAGAATTAAAAAGCATCCAAATTTGAAGTAAATAGAAAAAAGAAATACTTACGAAGCTAACAGTTCAAGAGCAACTAGCTTATCTTTACTGAAGGTGAAACAGTTGAGTATATTGACCACTTCTGCTGGGTGAACAGCTACCATTTTCTATTAATATAAAAGATAATTTTATTTTCAATGTAAAATCTTCATGCTGGAAATTGCCACATATTTATATATATGTATACATACATACATATATATATGTATACATACTATATATATATATTTGTTTCAGTTGTTGATGGACCTTTATTTTATTCATTTATTTATATGTGGTGCTGAGAATTGAACCCAGTGCTTCACACATGAGGCAAGTGCTCTAGTACTGAGCACAATACAAACCCGAAATTGCTCTTTTTGAAATAGTTAAATACTCTTAATGTAAACATTTTAGGTGAAATATTTTATATTTTAGGTGAAACTTCAAATGAAAGTTCTGAAAATATGTGAATTATTCTTATTTTCTTTCAATGTAACAATTTCAGATCAAGATCTCAGTTCTCTTATGAGCTCTCTTTTAATCCACATTTCTCAATGTGTTCATTTATAGAATAAAGAAACTAGCAAGTACTACCTTCCTCAGAAAAGWATATATCTAGGAGGCTCAATTGGTCAAGGAGTGAGAAAAAATTATATTCCTGAGTTGGGAGGTGGGAGCAGGTATGCCACAGATCACTTGCCAAAAAGCTGTGCAAGAGGCTAGTGTTACACAGCAAAGGATATACTAGTCACAAAAGCTRGACCAAAACTTAAACTGGGCTCCCTGTTGAACAGCCATCATAAGATTGATACGTTAAGCATACATTGTGACTATCCAAGATGTGAGATGTTACATAATTATTTCTTTAGGGTATCTCTATTTCTGAAGAGCATTAAAAAAATTTGAGCTGGGCACAGTGGCRCACACCTGTAATCCCAGGGGCTCAAGAGACTGAGGCAGGAAAATCTCCAGTTTAAAGCCAGCAACAGTGAGACACTAAGCTGTCTCTAAACAAAATAAAGTAGGGCTCAGGATGTGGCTCAGTGGTTGAGTAACCCCAAGTTCAACCCATGGTACCAGAAAAAAAAAAATTTTTTTTTTTTGGTCGATTCATAGTTAGTTAACAGTTATGGAAATTCAAATGCAAAAATCAATGAAGAACTAAGATTGGTTAGGATTAATACCCTAGCTCCTAAAACTCAGAGCAGTGATTTTCAAACCCATTAATAATGTACTACCAAGGAATTGATTTATGTACCCCTGATAGTRTATATTTGTAAAAAATACAGAACTGCTAATTTAGCTCATTTAGTTTCTAGAAATGTTCATTATATAACCTTTTTGGCAAAGTTAAGTCTTCAGTGTGAAAGCACCAGTAAAATCCAATTTTTTTTTTAATCTCTCCTTTGTTAGAAAAGGTGAGATTTAATTTAATTCAAGTAAGTGTATTGAGTTGTCCCTGCAATGTACTTCTCACCTCTAAATTTTAATCGTAAAGTAGGTAGACAGGCAAGCAGGCCTCGGAGTTGTCATGGGTTTGCTGTCCTGATAAAATAAGGCAAAGCCCTCCCASATATTTCCTGCTGAATAACTGTACTCTGCTTATCTTTTTGGTTCACAAAGATTTTCACCCTTTCTTTTGTAAAGTAGAAAACAAGCAATTGTTAAAGAGGTAGATAGAAGCATAACACACCTAAATTCTTTCTTAGGCAGATCAGTTTAAGGAAGTTAGGTCTTATAAATTGACTCTATTAAAGTATTCATGCCAATCACTTCTTAGAAAATCTTCCTCTACAKCCAGCTAACACTGTATAATCTACATACTGTTGTTGATCTAGGCTCCAGGCTATGTTATCTCATGCAGTAACCACAAGGCACTTGTGCCCATTAAATCTAATTACAATAAAATAAAACTAAAATAGTTCCTCAGACTAAGTGTTCAATAGCCACATGTGACCAGTGGCTCCCAAAATGGACTGTGCAGATATAAAAATCTGCATCATCACTGAAAATTCATTTGAACAGTGCTGATCTAAAGAATGTAAGTGTATGTAACCTGATGACTCTTCTAAGACTAAATACAAGCAGGTAAAGATAAGTATTGAACAATAGAAGAAAGTGCATAAAAATACTTAAGAATTCAAATCCTTTGTTTTGTTTGTCAATTTGCCACTTAGGACATTGTGGCATACAATTTAATGATACAGTATATGCAATTTAAATTTCACACTTTAGAAAATTTTGTAACATAGTTTTGAATAATCAAAGTATAAAATTTAAGGTTAACTTTTCTAATTCAAACATATTACAAGTTAAGATGAATCCAAGAAAACTGGGAGAAGTAAAAATACTTAAGATCTGTATTCTAAGCAAAAACAAACTACTTACATGCTGTAATGCTTTCATTGCTTTCAACTGAGGCTCAGCCCAGGAAAAATATCTCAGTAAATCCACTACCTGAAAGCAGAGAATTAATTACAGTGTGGTTTACAAAYATTTAAGATTTATTTCAATATGTGAAATTCAACACAGCCCAAGTCCAGGGGATGAGCATGCGCCAGAGTCTCCACCTGCTGTCAAACACAGTTAAGGGTGGTTGTTCAAATTTAAATCACTTAAAAATCAAAATTTAAAAATTCAGTTCCTGGCTGGGTGCAGCACAGATCTATGATCCCAGTTACTTAGGAGGCAATGCAGGAGGATCCCATGGTCAAGTCCAGTCTGGGCAACCCTGTCTTAAAATAAAAATTTTAAAAGGGGGATGGGGACATAACTTRGTGGTAGAACACTGGAGTAGCATGGAMAAGGCCTGGGTTTATACCCCAGTATCCTCCACCACCACAACAAAATTCAGTTCCTTTTTAGTATAAGCCACATTGCAAGTGCTCAACAGTCATACCAAATTTATGGCTAATATAAGGGACTGCAGCTGAAGAACATGTCTATCATTACAAAAGTTCTATTGGATAGCACTGGTCTAGCAAGAAAGGAAGATATTCAATGGGGGGTATCCTACTGAGGRCAAAAAATCTGAAAAGTACTAGATAGAGATAAAAATGACAGCTTATGAACACAAAGATGTATTTGAATGAAAAACTTTAAAACAATAATGGAGAGTGGCATAGTTTTAATCATTCACAATGGTGTGACAGTATGATTCAGTGTAAGTCTACCTTCTACCTTTTTATTTGAATCTGTAATACTCATAACATAAATCATGTAAGAACCACCAAGATTTACTCTCCCAGTTTTYAAATGGTACATCATTTTCACAGTTCAGAGAACCAGGCTACCACCAATTCCCACCACCACCARAGAACTTCAAATGAATGAAGGGGACATTGTGAGATGGGCAGTAAGAGGTGAGCAGGGCTTCAAGATCACAACTTTCAAGTCTCAGCATGATCAATACCACTCTGGTTCACAGCCTCTGWGGATACTCCAAAAGGGAGAAAAATTAAATAGGAAGAGTCATAAAATCTGAGTTTTTTTACCCTGAATTCCTGAAAATGTGCTAGGAATTTAATTATTCCACAAGAACCAGTCAATGGTGTAAACTAGAGTGATATGGGAAGAAAGTGAAAATACTTTTTATTGCTTATAGAGAGATGCATAAATAACATTAGGCATACTCTCCAGTTACTTTGGGAAGAGTTTATGTCCTTATTTTGTGGGAACAGTGTTCTTACTATACAGTGAAGGTTGTACTTTACAAACCATAAAACTTAACTATCAATCTTCAAYAAGGTAGACTCAGAATGTCTCACTTAGTGTTTAATAAAGTTTTAAAGGATGTCAGCAAAGGCATCACTAAAGGAAGATGTTTTCTACAAAATGTCACATGCATGTTATGTGGAAAAAAAAAAGCTGTTAGCTGTAAGAAATCATAAATCTTTCAAAACATTTAGATTTAAAAAAAGAGCATAAGGCAACTTGTGAAGCAAAGGGAAAGCTGAAAAACTATCCCTAAAAAGGCACTAACAGATGCAAATCCTAAGAAGAACTTCAGGCGTAAAGTTATTCAAGCTGACATGTATTCAAACTCTGGAGAAATAAAAAGTTGGTACTATCTCTGAGTCTGCAGATTCATCGATGATTCACCCTTTCCCAACTTCTTTCTAAATGTACGTTTCTATGTCTGCCCGATTTTGCTATCAAGAATTTTCCTAGTGCCCTTCAGAAATCCTTCTTCTGTGTGTTTATATACATACACATTTTTTTTTTCTTAAATATGATCAAAGTTGCCCAGCACAGTGGCTGCACTTCTTCTAATCCTAGCTACTGGGGACCCTGGGGTTGGGGGAGGCAGGGGGATGATGGGCTAGAGCCCAGCCTGGGGAATACGGCAGATACCATCTTGAAAAAAGAAAAAGAAAAAAAGAAAGAAATCAAACTCCTAATGTGGGGTTAAAGTTTTCATTAAACTATTATGCTTAAAACACTAGTCTTCTGGCTATGACAGAAACTACTTATTAGACACAGTGTTTATATTTCCTTATTGCTAAGATTTTTATTTAGTGGCTTCACATAAAAACATATTTCATCACTTATTCATGTTTTCTTTTGAATTTTGCAATTACTGACATTATATGGTATAAGTTTATCATTAAGTTTATAACTTTTGATTACTGTGTCCAGACTAATTCACACTTTTAACTACTTTCAGGCTCTGTCAAAACCACAAGCTTCTAAAGTTCCTGAATAAATATAAGAACAAAGTACAAGCAATTCTAAATTTGAACAGCTGGTAAGTTGGTATTAACCAGAACAATGGTGTAAAAAAGCTCATTTAAACAAATAATTAAAAGTACCTGTTCACTAGAGAAGTATCCATGCACATATTCAATTGCTTTTAATTTATATTCTGTCAAAACAGCCTAAAAAATAGAAAAACATCATTAATATATGTAAGCAGCAYAGTAATAYGCATATATCAAAACTGCCCAAGCASCTCAATGGTGGCAGGGCTTCTTTAGCCCTGGCACACAGCAGCAGCTAAGGTCATGTGGTGACAGAATGTCTACCCTTTCAGGTCCCACATTGTAGGGCCTCCCTACTCACTTTTACAAAGAAAGGGAATAAATTGTAATAGGCAGATTCCACATTAGTAGAAATTACACAGATAATTCCTGAATATGTAATTAATATCTGAAAACCAAACAAATTTTCATTRTTTAAGAGTAAATGTATGATTTATCTATTATTTGTCAAGTACCCATTATGTGCTAAGTTATAGGTAAACAAGAGGACAAGGTCTAGCTGAGGCTTGGTAKTTCACCCGGTAAATGAGAAAACAAAAAGCCCCAAGGTCCGTGAATTCAAGGTCTTTGCTAGGCATTTTAATTCCTTTAGGGCTTCCTCATTCACAAAAGGGAACAGAATTCACCACCTATTTCAAAAAGTTACTGCGAACATTTAGTTAAWGGTTCCTTTTCTGCATAGAAATCTATCAGTAGGTGAAAGGGATGTTGGTGGCCTTGACCTCCACTATCTAGAGCTCAATGAAATCAAATATCTCCCCTTGCAGGTATTTGCAGAGCTTAAAGATGGAAACACCAGGTTATCACAGCTTTGTGGCTCTAATCATTAAAAATAACTAATCCTTTTGCTCTTACTACAAACAATTATACACTGACATCCTGTATCATCCAAAAATAGAAATCTGCTGGTCTAGAACTATTTTCTCATAAACAGTATTTACAAATTAGCTCATGAACAAATTGTGACAAACTCTAATTTTACAGTTAGCAAATTGGTATTTGTTTCCAAACTTGTGGACAAACTAGATTTACAAAAGTAGAAATTTGTTTTCAAAAGAGCATTCAAAAGTATCAAATATAAAAAATGAAACGTCAATAAAAAAAGATTTTACAAAAAACAATATGAAACAGCAGCTCCAGAAACAATTTTAGTAAAAAACTCATAAGCTGATATAAATAATAAGCATGGAAGCACGTGGTAACAATTCCTYTGGTGTCAGTTAATGAGCCACAGAAGTGCTCAGAAGGCCGAAGCAAGGCACTCAGTTAACAGAATAATGGTACTAGAAGTCCTTTAAATTCTAAATGGGTAACTAATTTTTGAGCTTCAGATAATGCTAGGCTCAAAACTACATTCCAAAATTTTTTGCTRTGTTCACTCCTAGAGGCAGGATACCCAACTATATCTCAAAAAGAATCACGAAAATAAGAAAAAAACTGAAACTCAAGTTATCGATGGTCAATTCATCAACAGAGTAAACTTAACCACATTTAATCATCAGAACACTAACTTTGTTCTGGCCGAGGCAATAAATATATTCTGCCTATCTTTAGATTTGGGGAAAAAAAACATAATTGCCGTAATAGAAACTTTCCACGTGGTACTTCTGGTTTTCAAACACTTTCGTGTTACAGAAAGGAAAAAAGTAGCCGCAGAAATATTAAATTACTTATTCGAAAATACACAGCTGTTAAGGATTTGCACAGCTGGCTTCACAACTGAGGAGTAATACAAATTCCACAATGCCGCGCTGATTCTCAAACTGGGATAACATCATTGCTATCCGCACGGTGAAACCTATCAAGGCACAAGCTCCTGCAAAACACGTGAAAACTCAAACCAATTTGGCAATGCTCTGATTCTTATTTTGTGCAACCTACACACAGTACCTCCCAGAAACTAAACCACGATGATTCCTATTTCGCAGATTAATTTAAGGCATCAAGTGCAATTACCTTTCTGATTTCATCCAGCACCGTCTCGAAGGACTTTTTGTCCATCTTGACTATACTATTTCKACGTGGTTTTTAATGGTTACACTTTCAATCACAAAACGTTCATCTCTGGTTTGCTCCACTGATASTAAAAATGTTTACAGCTGAGGAATAAACCACTCCAGGAGCAGGAGAAAAAAGGCGAAGAGGTAGAGTGTACTGCAAACTCCGCGAAAAATATCTAAAAACGGAGACTTTAAAAAAAAAAAAAACTTTATTAAAACCAAAAATCCCTCCTGTCGGCTTCTCCAGATGCTTCACACAAAGCTTCGGGGCACCTCGGGGAAGAGCCAGSTCCTGTGTGTCCTGCAGAGAAACCCGGGGACTCGGGCCGGGGCTGAGCGCCGTTCCTTTGCAGYTGGGGGCCAGGAGCTGCCCGGGAGAGGCCGGGAAGCCACTTTCCCCAGTGGAGCGGCCAGGAGAGCAGAGGCACCAGCTCCGGAGCGCCGCAGGCGGCGAGGAGTGGAGCGCCGGCGTCACGGCCTGCACCAGCGCCTCGGCCGCCGGCCGCGCCCCTCACCGCAGTGATCTTGGACTCATGGCCCGGCTCGCGGTCATCCCCAGCCACTCYTCCAGACTTCTGGGTCCCCCAGCCCGGGCAGCGGGCGGCCCAGCAGGCTCTTTGTTACCAGTTTCTGTGGCTTCCGGGAGCGGGCCGCGACCTGAGAGCACCAGAAGCCGGGGAAAGGGGGACACGGCCTCGCACAAGGGGGCTCGCGAAGACCGCAATACCTACAGCGCCAGGCGCCCTGCCAGATTACCCCTACAGCCCCCACCGGCTCCTAGGGACCTTCAATACAGCCCGTCGCGCCCGAAGAAACTCAACTCTGCGCCGCCAGCAAGGGCCGCACTTTTCTGGAAGCCAGTGAAGGGTCCTGGTGTGGGAATGTAGGCATCCACAGCGGATGCCTGGATATTTTGGAATCGGGTGTAGCTTAAATCTTTCTCAGAGCCTAAGAATCACTTTTTGAGTGAGACTCCTCCCTTATCACTCAGGTGTTTGGTGTGAAGCTTTGATCGTTAAGCCTGAATTAAAAGCAATCAACGACAAGAGGATAAGGCATATCTAAGGGAGCCGCGATAAGGGTGGCTGGGAGAAGCCGGATGCAGAGACCTTCCGGAGGGCGGGGAAGGGTGGTCACTGGTTCGGCCCTCTGGGCACCTGACATGGGGGCGGGAACCTGGAAAGTCGCTACAAACCCGGAACTGGTCTTCCTGGACTTGAGTTTCTTTTACCTTCTGTTTCCTTGTACCTCTGGGAAGGGGGTAGGATATAAGGGTCTTCAGCCGGGGCATCCAGACTGACGCTCTGCAGCTACCAGCCTCTCAGGCTTGGGGGGTTGTCCGGCACCCCTCACCTGTGGACCCCTCACCTGTGGACCGTTCCCTCCCCTAACTCTGGTCATGGCGAGATTTTGGGTCTACGTGGCMGGTGCCGGCTTTTTTCTTGCAAGTCTAATTTTGCATTCGCGTTTTTGTGGCTCCCCGGTGAGTTGAGTAGTGAGGAAAGGACTGTCAGTGTTGTGAATGGCACGGTTGGGATGAGATGGTGGGCCCTGGCTCCTGCACCAGCTTCTTCCCCAAACCTACACTTGAGGCTGAACCAGTCGCCTCTTGATGTTAAAAAGRTGTGTGGATGCTATTTTCGCCTCTTCCCCAGCTCTAGAGTTTTATTATGTTCGTTTTGGTCTTTCGATGTATAACCTCATTCTTTGGAATCTTAAAAAAACAAAAACAAAACAAAAAAAAACACCTGGAGGGCACACTGAATCTTTATCTTCTAATTTTACTTAAGGTTTTAAGGAACYTTGCTTTTCAAATTTCCTGGAGATCAGAGAAAGTTGCTTACCGGCTGGATTTGGATTGGCCTAAGTATTCAGACTACTTTACAGGAACAACATTTTGTGTTACAGTTGACTCACTCAACGGATTGGTTTATGTAGCCCAAGTAAGTAAAATGAGTTTTTTTTTTTTTTTATGACAGGAAACAGCAGACTTCCTGTTTCACTGCACTAAGTATACATGTACACGCATATTATTCGAGCTATGCAACTTTCTAAAGTTGGCTTAAGAAAATATTTTGGTTTTAAGTGATAGATATTAATATTGGTGGTTTTGAAATTGKTTTTTTTAAACATTACTAAATTTCTCAATTAACTTCATTTTTGTTTCTCTCCGACAAAATAAAGATTACCATTCCTTAAACCGATGCCATCTAAGCAGTTATTTTTGTATACCTTCAGAGAGGGGATAACATCCCAAAGGTATTAGTGTTCACAGAGGATGGATATTTCCTACGAGACTGGAATTATACAGTTGACACACCTCATGGTATGTTTGCAGCCAGTACACTACATGAACAATCCGTCTGGATCACAGATGTAGGAAGTGGTATGTGTAGTAATATCTATTAAATTACCTTGCKGGAAATCACATCTTTGCCCATGTTCTTGCTTGTACGTTTTAAAGTCAGAGTTGCCAAATCTAATCGAAATTTCTTTTATAATTCATTGAAATCACTGGTTCCTAAAAATCTTTATATTGTACTCCTTCAGAATCAAGAAATTAAGCAAGGAGGCTGTAATCATTGTGATCTTTTAAACTTGTCAAGGTCCTTTCCTCTTTAAATCCTTGGTGGTTCTTCTCAAGTTAAGTAAGACTACACCTTTTTATGAAGCCCAATAAGACAGTGATCCTTTAAATGGAATGACTGGAGTCCTTAGCTCTTATTTTCTTGCACCAGTTCTCTTCAAAAGAGGTTGTGCTAAGAAGTCTTAATTACTTTGTTGCCCAGAATACAGAGATTTATAGAAACTGGTGGTAATGGTTTTGAATTTCCGCTGACTGAAGCATGTCTGAAATCTTCTGTCTCAAATATTTTCAGTAGACTGCAGAAAAACGAAGTAAGCATAATTTAATTTGCAGCTATGAAGAAACTTTTCAGAGAAAGCAGTTCACTTGGACTGGTGGCTAAAACCACACCAGAAATAGCCTGTCATTACCTGAAGAATTCAGGAAGGCATGGGATCATAAATAGAATATTTCTAGTGTTCCTGGGCCCAGTTATGTTCTTGACTTAAGGGACATCCTGTTTTCCCATGCTAGCTAGTTTAGATATTAGGTTGTTTTTTGTTGTTTTTTTTTTTTTTACTTTTTTTCCCCCTATTTATGTCATTCTTTTTTTTTAACATTCCTTTTTTTTTTTTTAACATGACTTCACTTGTTCCCAGAAATAAAAAGAGCAGATGAGCTTATATTTCCATAATTTATTTTGCTACCCATGGATCTGGAAAGCAGGGTTTTTTTTTTAATTTCTCCTTTTTCAAAGGAGATTTCCTCTAATGAAAATGTGACTGCAAGTCAATCATTTAAAAAAAAATTTACTATTATTCTATCCTTTTTGTCATTTCTTGAGAAATTTTGAGGTTTGCTTTCTCTAATAATACTGTGTTCTCTTATTGCTGCAAACTTTGGCTCAAGGATCCAAAACATGCATTATACTAAATACACTTTTTAAAATGGAATGCAAGCTGATATGCTTTATTTCTGGTAAGCTTAGGGTAGCCAATTAGTTTGTTGATTACCTATCCATTAGTTCCATCTTATATGCCTTCAAGTTGATTTCTTATAACTGCTTTATGATTTAACTTTATTAATTAAYGTTCTGCTTTTTTCTTTTGCTTATAAGATCATGTTAACTCAAATAAATTTCAMTGTATGTGAGAAAATAAGATGCCAGTGATTTGGAAAGATTCTTTTTTTCCATGGAAAAAAAATCAGTGGATTCAATTTTTAATTTGTACAAGGAAAATATGTAATTTAAGAAATCTGTGTTATAGGGGCTGGGGCTGGGGCTCAGCAGTAGCACACTTGCCTGGCATGTGTGAGGCACTGGGTTCGATTCTCATCACCACATATAAATAAATAAGATACAGGTCTATCAACAACAATAAAACATTTTTTAAAAAAAGAGCTGTGTTACAGAGAACTTTTTTCTTGCCTACTGAAATTTAAAATCTGTACATTTATGATTGAAATAACAGTTTCCCATGTAAGTTGTTCATTTTAAGTTCCTTCTGATTTGCTTTTATATTCCATCTTTTTTAGGTTCCTAAGATAAAAGAAAATGGTACACATAGTTTGTTAACATTATGAGCATTCTTTGCAGTGAGCCAATGTTTTTTTATTTTTTTGACTTTAGAATTCACTTATGTTGGAGTAACTAAGATTTTAATTCATGAACAAATTTGTAATTTATAAAGAAGCACTATTGCTTATCAATTATAACATTTAACTATTTCAGCCATTCAACCTTGAATTACTGTTTAATTCTATCAGGGTTTTGCCCCTAGTTTATTTGAAAACTGAATGTTGTACAGTAATTTTATTTGTGAGACATTCATGTGTATCTTTACAGGATCGTATGGCCATACTGTTAAAAAATACAATACCTTTGGTGATCTTGTTCAAGTCTTGGGTACGCCCGGGAAAAAAGGCACTGGTTTGAATCCTCTGCAATTTGATAACCCTGCAGAACTCTATGTAGATGACACAGGAGATATTTACATTGTGGATGGAGATGGTGGATTGAATAACAGATTGATCAAACTGTCCCRAGGTACATGGCCTTGTTTCTCTGGTATTAAAATAATCTCATTTTTAAATTGGATTTGTTTGCTTTTTTGTATAATGTTGTAATAATGATGGGTATAAAGCTGCTTATAAAGGGCTAAAATGTATTTCTGGGAGAAAACTAGAAAACTATGGGTGGCATTATCAACAATAAATGATTCTACTATAGGTCTACTTGTTCTTCATCAAGGATAGGAGTTTCCTTCAAAAGCAACTGAAGCAATTTAGTGAGACCCTATCTCAAAAAGAAAATAAAAAAAAAAACAGGCTATGGATGTGGCTCAGTGGTTAAGCACCCCTGGGTTCAATCCCTGGTATCCCACAAAAACAAAATAGAGGGCTAAGTGGATATCCTATTTAATTAAGAATGGAGAGTTAGGAGCCTGGAATCCCACAGTCTGTTTTAATATACAGTAAAAATTAGGAGATGGAGAAACTAAGTTGGTGAATAGGACAAGATTTCCTAAAGAAGTAGTCCATCAACTAAACTGGTTTCTGTGGGAGGCAAATAGAGGAATGGGCAAAAAGTTCTGGGAGGCTTTATTTTGCAAATCCACAGGTAGTAGATCTCAGCAGCAAAGGAGCTTTGTGTCTCAATCAAATCTCCCCTTCCTTTCTCTTGCAAACTGTGAGAATACATTTCTKTTGGCCACCTGTTTGTAGCCATTTTTAAAGGGAGCCACAGGAAACTAAATACACCCATATTCAATCTGTCTCTTAAATTTGGTTGGTTGGTTTTTTCCATCAGATTTTTTAGATTTACCACACCTTATTTTCCTTTAACTGTTACCAAATTTACTACTAAATGATAAAATGACTACATAATCTCCAAATGATAGAGCTCACTAGAAATATATCCTGATATAGTCCTTCTCTAAATTCAGAATAATCTCACTTCAACTTAATTGCATCTGCAGCATCCCTAATTCCAAAGACTGTTACATTCACAAGTAAAAGAGATTAGGCCCACAATTAATTGATAGTAAAGGAGACAAACTATAAAAACATAATGTTAATTTTTAAGCTCAGTGAAATGATAATATGAAGTAAAAGTTGGAAAGGGAACCTATTTGAGAGAGAATGATGTGAACCCTTAATGGTGATTTTGAAATCATTAATCAGTATCTCCATTTGAATTTTTTAAAGAAGTAGATTAATTGCTTGAAGCATTGTAAAATTAGGCAAATTGATGAATAGATAGAAAGCCA